CAGATTAATAGTATAGGGATATCAATTAGTTTCTTTTTAAGAAAATAGTCAAAGTCAATCATAGATATCGAGCTTATCGCTTTGATTATGCTCTTTTCATTACAATTTAATTTTTCGACGAAACGAGAACAGTTGTTTTTTCATTTTCGACGAAACGAGAAAATCAATTAGTGTTTCGACGAAATGAGAATCTACCCTGCATCTCTACGAGAAATTCGGCTATATCCAAATTGCGGCCAAAAATTAAACCAATTAACACATAAGTAGCCGCAATTCCGAAGACAGAATTTTTTGTTGATTTCATTTTTTATGTGTTTCCAAATTGCGGCTACTTTTGATTAACTAGTTATAGAAAGAATAGATTATGAGTTCTGTTGGATCTATAATACGTATATATGTATGACATAAAATGTTGAAAATAAAAAATCATACTACATATCAAACTATGAATACAAAACTTTACTTGGTCAACAATCGAAAAAGGTGAAAAAGTCATTATATATAAGAATTACTTATATCGATTAAAACGTGAAAATCAGAACGGTTCATTAATTTTTGTCGGACCAAGAAAAGCAAAATATACACAAGATGATAATAAACTTATGTTAGCAAAAACAAAATATATTCAAGCTGAAGATTTCGACGCCTAACAAAAAACTTTACGAGCTGTTTCTCATCGCTATATTCATGTGATAAAAGATACTAAAGATAGTAGTGATGAAGAATAATTTTTTTGTTATGTATTTTTTCAATTCAAACTGTTGATTACTTGATAACGAAAAAGTAGCCGCAATTTGGAAACACATAAAAAATGAGATCAACGTAAAATTCTGTGTTCCAAATTGCGGCCACTTATGTGTTAATCGGCTTAATTTTTGGCCACAATTAGGAAGCTACGAGAAATTCGATTGAATAATTGATTTTTCTTTTTAGTTTATAATTTCACGTGGTAAAAATAATTCATTTGGTTTTACTGTTGTTGGTGATAGTCCAACATTTATTGGAAAAGTTAGTGAAAATAGTCCAGCTGGTCTATGTGGACTTAAATCAGGTGATTATATTGTTAAAATTAATGATCAAAATGTTTCACGTGCTCAACAAAGAACTGTATCAAATTTAATTAAGTAATTATAAATATTTAATTTTTTGAAAAGAAAAACAGCGAAATCATTTTTCTTATCTTTCTTTCAGACATGTAAAACATTCAATTACGTTAGATATTCATCGTTATCTAAGTGTACCATTAAATCATGATTTTTTTTCATTAATTTCTTCAACTGATACTGTATCAACGGAAGATTCGTCAGCATGTAGTGATTCATCTATACCATATTATAAAAGAAATTATCTTTCATCATCATCAAATCGACAATTTGTTGATCTAGCTCAATTAGGACATTATATTGAACAAAAACCATTCATTCGACAGACAACAATTAATGAAGAAAAACCATTTTATCCTATGACTAATTCATCAATGCTTGCTGTAAAAGGTTCACCAACGAATACATTTGTTTAATTGGTTTTTGTTTTCGTGAAAAATGAGTGATAAATTTTTTTGTTTGAATATATTATATAGAAAAACTATTATATGCGTTTGTTTCTTTTTTATTAATATATATTGTAAAAATAAATTTTCAAAGCATAGAATTCAAAATCATCGATCGTCTTGTTTTTGTGTACTCAAAAAGTGAGTACACTCTAGAATCGGTCAGTGTGTCCGGCCGTCCGTTTACACGATAACTTTTGAAAGGAGAGTCAGATCGCGATGAAATTTTCTACACAGTTCAGTCTTAACAAGATCTCGGTCAAGTTCGAAGATGAGAAGGATTGGCCAAGCCCTTCCTGAGTTATTGCAAAA